CAGAAGGAACCTTCAGAAGATGCTCAGAGCATCTGGCATAGAGAAAGGTTCCTTCAGCCAGAGGGAAATGCCTCTGCTAGCAGAATGGATCTGGAGGATCGAGCCCCATGTCCTTGTGTGCTGTCATGATTTCTGACTTGGACAGGGAGCATCTTCTTAGCAATGTTGCCTAGGCAGCAGGTCAGGACATGCCTTGTCAGCAGGCTGACCAACATTTGCAGGATTGACTTTCCTGGAGAGAAATGCCTGAGTATCTTTCAGAAGCATCGCAGGGCCTTTTTATTTAGGTTAGATTTGTTGCCCGAGTTGCAGAGGAAGTGGGAGAGGCAACAGGGCTGTATTCATTATGTTATTACCCCTTCCCTAAACAGAGAATAAAATAATCCTTTGACCCGAGGCCTTTAGAAAAGTAGGCAGAGTTCCTAGTGCCTCAGAGTACCGACAGATCGCTTTCTGTGACCCTAAAACAATCAGAATCCCAGAATCTGGCAACAGGTGCCAAGAGCTGACCTTGGGTGTCAGTTTTTGTGTATTAGTCATCTCTGTTAATATGAGGATTAGCAATCTGTTTCCCTCTCTGCGTTTCCCCCTTTCTCAGGGAGCAGCTGACTGGAAATGCTGACATTTGAACAAAAGCCAGAACGGCTCCCAAGGTTTAGGCAACCCTGATCCTGGCCTTCTGAAATAGAGGGGAGTGATGTCAAAACACCTCAGGCACCCCTTTGAAGTGAATGTGAACTGAAGTCGAGGTCCAGGGAAACAAATCCTATTAATGAGGCAAGAATTCGGCCCCATTAGTGATCCCCAGGCCTTTGGTTTCTTCAGGACAGATTCACTAACGACAACGGTTGTTATGTAAACTCACTCTTCTAAAAATAGCTGTCCATCCAATCCCTCTCTTTGTACTGCATGTTACAGAATGTTTTCCACTGAGCTATGGTTCTCAGCAGCCCCTATTGTTGGCTGGCAATGACGTAGGTTGAGCAGCTGCTGGCCTTCACTAAGCTCAGTCACCTATCTTGGGACTGCTGCTTTTATCCCAGGGTCCGCTCCTCTCTGGGCATCCCCTTTCCTTTCAACATTCTTGGTCCTAGTCAGTTGGCAGGGATTCCCAGTAAGTCGTGACTAGGGCATCCTGTGTCCGCTTGCCTCTGCCCCAGTGCAAATGGAGAATGCTCCCTGTCCGGTCTTCAGCCGCCTGATCCAAAATCCTTTTGGTACTGAGGGCTTCTATGTAAAAGAACCCTGCAGGAAGAGCTTGCGCTAACCAAGCTGTGAATGTTCTCCCTTCAAATGGAGAACAGGAGCACTTTGCATTGCCAAAGACAAATAAAGCCTAGCTTTTTGCTGCAGCTCTTTCTGTACTACTCCTACAGCCCCCAATACTCAGCCAGAATAGAAGAATTTGCTTTCAATCCTCTTTCTTTCCATTGCAGACAATGCAAACGCCTCACTTTTTAATCTGTCGAATACAGCCACGCTGTGCCTCTGAGTTCGCAGCTGCTGGCCTTCACTAAGCTCAGTCACCTATCTTGGGACTGCTGCTTTTATCCCAGGGTCCGCTCCTCTCTGGGCATCCCCTTTCCTTTCAACATTCTTGGTCCTAGTCAGTTGGCAGGAATTCCCAGTGAGTCGTGACTAGGGCATCCTGTGTCCGCTTGCCTCTGCCCCAGTGTCCGGTCTTCAGCCGCCTGATCCAAAATCCTTTTGGTACTGAAGGCTTCTATGTAAAAGAACCCTGCAGGAAGAGCTTGCGCTAACCAAGCTGTGAATGTTCTCCCTTCAAATGGAGAACAGGAGCACTTTGCATTGCCAAAGACAAATAAAGCCTAGCTTTTTGCTGCAGCTCTTTCTGTACTACTCCTACAGCCCCCAATACTCAGCCAGAATAGAAGAATTTGCTTTCAATCCTCTTTCTTTCCATTGCAGACAATGCAAACGCCTCACTTTTTAATCTGTCGAATACAGCCACGCTGTGCCTCTGAGTTCTGGCCCAGATGCAAGAGATTTCTTTGAGC